TTGGGACTCAAATCTTCAGAGTCCATAAAAATTCTTCCAGACTGCCGCCATGTCTGTGTGTTGACCAAACATGATAATCCTAGCTTTGTGAAATGAACAGTAGACTTGGTTAGTAAAGAACACTGGGACGTAAAATAAATCACTTTGCTTTAGCTTCGGGTCATTTCTCTTTCAAAATGGTGTTAATGGCATCAACAGCAGTAACCATAATTACAAATGCTCGAGTCCTTCTTCTGTATGAGGGATAGCAATCAGTGCTTTGCATGTATTATCCGGTTCAGTCATCCAGGAACCCAACAGGCTCTTCTTTGAGGCACTTACATTATGCACATCAGTAAGTAGTGAATGGCATTGGTGTAACAAGGAAATTGTATTGATGCATAAGTTACTTTATAGTATGTTTATGTTTTGAAATATTCTGGACAAGCTTTTTCCATACTTAAGAAGAAAGACTTGTGAGAAGATCTTAAGAACAAAGCTGAAAATCTGCAGTCCCTTTATTTAGTACAAGTAGAACCTGAATTAGCATCTACACCTGATAGATATGTCTGCTTGGAGAAGTTATAGATATAGATGAAGTGACTGCAGAGTTATTTTTTCTGAATTAGAATAATAGATTCATGAAGAAAGCTAAACACCCAACCAAGTTTCTAATTTGGATGAAAAAGGTCTCTACCTGGTAGCAAATCACCCTCAATACCTACTTTTTGAAGGAAGGAACACAGAGCCCAGGGTTTAAGGTTGGCAAACATAGGCCATGATGTTTTGTGAAAATACCATTAAGTATTTAACTGTTCTAGTGTTTTTATTGATTTTCGACTACTTTGGTTTCTGTTAGTGCTCTGGATACAAGAATACATGTGTCTTTCAGTTACGTATGTACAGCATTATAGAACTATCTGTCCTGCTTTCGTCCGGATTTTATAAAAAGAGAAATTGAAGGTGAGCGGGGTTAAGTAATCCAGCCACCTTCACACAGTTGGCAAGTGGTGGACCCAGGACTGGATTCTGTCACTTCCAGGGCAGGCTGTCTTAACTTCTGTGACATGAATATCAAACTAAGTTTAATTCCTTTTTCCTGATTGCAACTGTTTATTATTATTATTAGTAGTAGTAGTAGTAGTAGTAGTCTTAGTATGGCAAAAGGAAAATTTCACAGAAGAGGAGCCTGTCTTGGGTCCTAACATATTCTTCAAGACAGATCTCTTCAGGTTAACACCTGTTGATCAATGGATCCCTCTACTTTGATGCAGTATGTCTCATCACCTGTAATAAGAGCCTTTGTTCTGGTCTGCTCTCTGGTAATAGAGCCATCCACCTTCCTTAATCAGTGCTGCATTATGTATCCTACCCTTTTCTTTTTCATGTATCTGTGTCTTTATATTCCAAATGGAGTCAGGGGTAGGAATAGATTTTCAGCATCACATGGGAGAGGTTAAAAGGAAGGTTTTACTGGAAAAGGTGGAAGCTTGCAGAACAAGAGAGGAGGCAAAGTTACCATGCTCTCCCCAAATGCCCAGATTTCCTGCCGAACAGCTGTTGGCCAGCCTTGTCTCAGTACCCAGATGCCCAGGCTCACACCCTGACCTGTGGCAAGTGTAGTCCCCACCACCAGGTTGCAGACAGACCCTCCATGTCCCTGGGCCACAAGTCCCCTGCTCTACTGGGAGGAGGTGGAAGACGGGGCTCTCTGGGAAAACCAGAAGGAACACCTACATTCTTCTTCCTCCTCCTTCTTCCTCCTCCTCTCCTCTCGCACCCCTCCTTCTCCTCCTCCTCCTCCTCCTCCTCCCTGATTTATTCATTCATTTTTTCTTTTCTTTCTCTCCCTCCTCCCTCTTCTGCTTCCTGCTGCTTCTTTCTTTCTTCCCCTTCCTCCTCCTCCTCGTCCTCGTCCTTGTCCTCGTCCTCATCCTGGTCCTGGTCCTCGTCCTCCTCCTCCTTCTTTTGAAAAATATTGCCCTTTGTGTCATGCCTCCTTCAGCCATGCTCCACTCTCTCTGGTTCTCCAAACTTTTGCTGTAAGGTAACATGGCTTGTGAAAGTATTGAGAGATTTTGGCAACATGAAGGCATATTCTGGTGAAAGAGAAGAGAAGCTCTTCCTTTGTCACCATACCAGCACTAGGACCAGTTACTGATGAGTCCCAGTCACCAAAACCACAGAGCTGACAAGGAAGCAAGAAAACAGATTTTCTCCATGAAAATTAAAAAAAAAAATTACGTAAAGTATAAGTCCAGATACGTTGTTTTAGTTTCACTGTGTGAATTGTCATTAACGTAATGATTACACCTTCCTCTGGTTACAACCCATTTGGACCGTAAAGGGGAGCTCACTGCCGCATCCTTCCACGTGTCCCCATGGTGTGTCCCCGTGCCTTCAGACACTGCTGCCCCTGCAGTGATGCATGGGTGGGTCAAGGCATAAACCTCCTGTTAGTTCACCTGCTATTGTACATTCCTTTATTTATTTATTTTTATTTATCTAAACCCAAGTTAGTTCACATACAGTGTAGTATTAGTTTCAGGACTAGGGGCGCCTGGGTGGCTCGGTTGGTTATGTGTCCGCCTTCGGCTCAGGTCATGATCTCACAGTTTGTGGATTCAAGCCCTGCGTCGGGCTCTGTGATGACAGCTCAGAGCCTGGAGCCTGCTTTGGATTCTGTGTCTCCCTCTGTCTCTGCCCCTCTCCCACTCATTCATTCATTCATTCATTCTCTCTCTCTCAAAAATAAATAAAGATTTAAAACAATTAATAAAAAATGGAGTAGAACCCAGTGATTCATCACTTACATGTAACACCCGGTGTTCATCTCAAAAAGTGCCCTCCTTAATACCCATCACCCATTTGGCCCATCCCGCACCCACCTGCCCTCCAGCAACCCTGTTTGTTGTCTGTATTTGAGTCTCTTATGACTTGCCTCCCTCCCTGTTTTTATATTATTTTTACTTCCCTTCCCCTATGTTCATCTGTTTTGTATCTTAAATTCCACATATGTATGAAATCATATGATATTTGTCTTTCTATGACTGACTGATTTCACTTAGCATAATACACTCTAGTTCCATCCACGTTTTTGCAAATGCCAAGATTACATTCTTTTTGATTGCCGAGTAATACTCCATTGTATCTCTTATGGTTTGCCTCCCTCTCTATTTTTATTTTATTTAAACAGAAAATAGAATCCCATTGACTTCCCTAATATTGAAAGTACTTACCACATAATTTTTAAGGGTTAGTTTTATGAATTATTTGTAAATAAGTGTGTACTTGAGCCTTGAACATATTACTAGGTTAGAAAATGCCATCATTGGGACCCCTGGGTGGCTCAATCATTTGAGTGTCTGACTCTTGACTTCCGCTCAGGTCATGATCTCACAGTTCATGGATTCGAGCCCCTTGTAGTGCTCTAGGCTGACAGCATGAAGCCTACTTGGGATTTTCTCCCTCCCTCTCTCTCTGCCCCTCCACCCCTAGCACTCTTTTCTTTTGCTCAAGATAAAGAAACTTAAAAAAAAGAAAAGAAAATGCCATCATTGTCAGACTGTACTTTTGGATGTATTATCTGTAGCTAGTCATTCGCCATTTCAAAAAAAAAAAAAAAAGAAGAATCACTTTCACTCAATTTTTATATCTATGTGTACTAGTATGTGGAAAAAGTAGAAGGAAATAATCTTCACTTAGACATGCATTTGTGTGTGTGTGTTTAATCATTATTCAGATTTATTGTTACAGAAGAGCAATTGTTCCTTTCAACATTCCCTAGGCAGGTAAAACTCACTGATAATAATGTTATAAAGAAATATTACAGCTATTACTATTGTTATTATTACTATTACTATTAATTTGCTGAGAAAATCTTCCAAAGAGACCCCCCCCCTTATTTGTAACTATACAATGATATAACATTTGGGCCTTAAGAAAATGCAGCTGTCACATTTTGCATTATTATTCAAGCTAGATTTATATTTATGGATTATCTATATATTATTGTGTGTTATCCTGAGGCAATGGGTTCTGTAGATATTCCATTTATTCTCATGTTTTTCGGGGGATACATTTTTATTTGCATAGCCACATCTTTTCTAGATGCCATAATTTTAATAAAATGGATGGGCTGAAAATGATTGCCCTAAGCTATAGTGCCCTACTCTTTGGCAAAGGGATTGTTGGTGTGTGTGTGGGCGGGGGTGTGCGGAATGGGATTTGAATTGCATCAGTGCTGTTTGCATCCAACTTGTAAAATGCATGGAATCTTTAACAAAATAGGGAAGATTGGAGATGTCCTGTCTTTTCAACTCATCCAACAAATGTCCACAATTTAGCCTGCCGAAAGGATAATAAGAAAGCAAGCATCACAATGCCACATTGGACTAGCGTGGTGTTCTGGTCAAGCACCCCAGACGTGTCTTAAAGAAGAATGGACTTAGTCGTGGGTCTGCACACTACTTTTGACTTTCACATTGAGATTTATGTTTTATGGATTTGCTCTAAGATGAAAGAAGAAAGAAGCAGTTCTCACCATGGGAGACCCTGCTACTTCTTTATCTCTTCCTTTTCTTCCTCTCTCTTATTTTCAGGACATCTCTTTTCATATCGGAAGTCTTACTGAGTGAACTGAAGTATCAGCCTCTGTTACTTCAGGATCTCCTTTTGTTTAGGGTGAAACCCAGTGATGACTCCTGTGAGAAGCGATGGACAGGGAGGGGAGCAGGTTTAAGTTGTCCAAAGGGAAACAAGAAATAGATGATGAAACTCACCAAGTGGCTGAATCTCTGGCTGCCACCCTCATGTCCAAAGAAACATCGTTTATAAATAGTGGAATAAAGGTGATTTTCACCCTTTTGAAACAGGACGTCTTCTGTATCATGCCAGATGTTACGTTGGATGTTTTTTGCTTTAAAACAGACTTGCCGGTCAGCTGGCATTTAAGCGTATGATCTTGTTAAAGATGCTGTACAAGTAGGATATGTCTTCAAATAACTGTCTCTGGCCCGCAGGTACGATTCTGGTGGATAACATGCTGATCAAAGGGACTGCGGGAGGACCAGACCCCACCATCGAACTTTCCTTAAAGGACAACGTGGATTACTGGGTGTTGCTGGACCCCGTCAAGCAAATGCTCTTCCTGAACAGCACAGGCAGAGTTCTGGATAGAGACGTTAGTGACTCTTTTTTCCTTTTGTCCCTGTGTTACAACCTTACTATAGTTTTCATCACTGCATGTGTTTGTTGAGGATGATCTCGGACTTTCTTTATATGATTTGAGATTCTTTTCTGTGCTTATCAACAAAAACATTTGTTTAACTCCTTGAAGGAAGAATAAGAAGGGGAGGGGCCATCTGGGTCTGGGAGAATGATTGTATTTCCCTCTGACCCCCAGGAACGCGTGGAGGGTAGATGTTCACACTAAGGGGTGGTGACTTTGGAAGAGCAGGGAGGCAGAGCGAGGGCCCATGGCAGAGTGTGGGCATGCAGCAGGTGTTGCTTGAGGATGCAGAGTGACAGGAAGAGCACAGGGGCTGCCGTCACTAGGAGTGAGCACGGGGTGAGGGATGGGTTTGTGGCCGTGCGCGTGTAGGGCTGGGGAAAAATCAGAAGAAGGTGAGCGTGAGTTTCCTGGCGATGTGCCAGTCCAGCTGTGACCTAAGCAGTAAGGCAGCCTGACCTACGTATTGTGTCATGAAGAATAGCTCAGCTACCAAAGCTGCTGAATGTCTCATTTCCGAAAAAGTGGGAAGACTTGGGTAGATTTATGTAGGCTTTTAAGTGTTGAGTGCAGAGATGAGTGTGCGTGTGCGTGCATGTGGCTGAGCGTGCACGACAGTAATTATGCAGGACCTTGGGAGTACATCTAAACATGTGTGTACTCCCAAATTTCCAGGTCATGAAATCCAAATGTCAGACCCTCAGCGTAATGAACCTGAATCATCTCCCTGCATCACTCAGATTTATGATCCGCTCTACAATACGGTGTGTGGAGTGGATGACCCCTGACGTAGTTCATGTCTAAAATTCAGAGTCTCTTAGAGCTTTGCGGTCAGGGGGTGGGTGGGAGGGTATAGGACAGGATGGGTTGTCTTTGTCCACTCGGGGGCCTCACACGCAGCTGACTGAGCAGATGTGAAGCACAGGTGGCAGTGGACAGTATGAGTGACACTGTCGGGCTCAACATGGGGGAAAAAGTCAGCCTGGATGCTGCCCCCGGTCCCCCACCACCCCCTACTGACTGCTGTTTATACCCCACACTTTACAATTTTGGCCGGGCGGCTATGAGAGTATAAAATGGAATGGGAACCGTTATTATTTATCGTAGCTTAATTTATGTCCTAAGTCACAACTTTTGTGAAAGTAGTGTGGATAAGGGCACCCAGGCTGCACCAGCGCCCCCAGCTGCGACCATATAGGCTCCCTTTCCTGGCCTTCATGAGGGGCATTCACATCCACGTCACATGGATTTCATTATGTAACCTGTTAGGAGAATTATAGAATACTCATCTAGACCACTGTTATTTTATACTGTTTCCTTTTCTTAAAATCACCTACTACCTAAGTATAATAATTTACTAGTTTACTGGCAAATTACTTTCTTTTTGACACCATTTTTTCATGTGATATTAAAAGCACAAGTTCTAGAGTGAATGAGTAGAGACAAAGGATATACTTCAGTATAAATAAATGGTGTTTGTCTCCAACCTAAAACATAATTTTAATTACTTACTAAAGATTGCCTTTACCTTCAAAAAAAAGTATCTGCTTCCCTAGTATTATTTTTTATTTCTAATAAGGGCAGCATTTATTGGACATTGGCTCAACTGAAACAGTACCATGGGAATACACTTAAAATTGTTTGACTTGAAAGTAATAATTGCAAAAAATGTGAATGAATACAGTTTATGTATTTATCTGGGCTGATTTTTGGTTTATTTATTTATTTTTGAGAGACAGAGCAAGCGAGAGAGAGAGAGAGAGAGAGAGAAACACAAGCAGGGGAGGGGCAGAGAGAGAGAATCCCAAACAGGATCCATACTCTCAGTACACAGCCCAATGTGGGGCTCAATCCCATGAACTGTGAGATCATTACCTGAGCTAAAATCAGGATTCAGATGCTTAACCAAATAAGCCGCCCAAGTGCCCCAGGCTATTTTTATTTTTTAAACACAATAATAAAGCTAATTTCCACCTACTTAAAATGTTCTTTGGACTGGGAATGGTATGGTCAAGTTAAACTTGCCAAGATATTTCCTAAATTAAAGTGTTGTCAGTGGATACTTACCTGAATTATCTAAAGATGCAGATTAGAACATCTAAAGAATATTAAGTGTGAAATGAATATCGCAGAGGAAAATCTATAAACGAAAAGCAAAACATATGCTCACGTAGGTGCGACATATTAGCAACTTGGCAAACAAATTCATTGAAATAATGGGAAGAAATAAGTAAAAGAGATGATGATAGTACATATGAGGTCAAGGTTAGGTTCACTAAATACAGTATGTACTTTCAATGTAGTATTTTTTCGAGTTTGCTGATTACAGATGCTTTACAGAATCTTTGGATTTTAGAGGTGGAAGAACTCTTAAAGTTTTGCTAATTCAATTTTTTTTTCCCATAATCTGTGCAGTAGATTTAGACCCAATGAGTCTTTAACATTTAGCACTTGTCTGTGGTGAAATGAGAATAATAAAACAAGGGGGTGATTTTGTTTTTTTATTTTTGTCTCCAAAGCTAAGTGTGTTCATTGTATTCTGATATCATGCCCTCTTTGCATTTTTTATTTTCTGTGGACCTTGTAGATTATAGATGGCTTTTGCTTTAGAAAAAAATTAACATTTATTTATTTTTGAGAGAGAGAGAGACAGAGCATGAGCAGGGTAGGGGCAGAGAGAGAGAGAGAGAGACAGAGACAGAGAGCGTGCCAGTGAGCAGAACTGGAAGCAGGCTCCAAGCTCCAAGCTGTCACCAGACAGCCCAACGTGGGACTCAAACCTACTGACTGTGAGATCATGACCTAAGCCGGAGTCGGATACTTAATCAACTGAGCCACCCAGGTGCCCCTATGGCTTTTGCTTTTTGAAAGTCTTTCTTAAAGAAAGAAAAGATTACTATCTCATGTTAGCTTTCCATGGTTTTTGCTGGATTGTTCTTTTCTTGTATGTTGTTGTTGTATATTTTACTAGCCTGCTGCTCTAGTGTGCTGTGTTTAGGTGAAGAGAGTCTAAGTCCACGCAGCTAATTAACTAGTTCGCCATGCTGCCCAACAATTGGTCTTTGGTGTCAGGTATTTCTTCTTGGATAAATGTGTGAGATGGATTTAAGCAAAGCATCAGAAGTCTAAGTGTAAACATAGTAGAAAGAGAAATGTGGAAGAAGTAAGAAGTGTAAGAATAAGAGTAACTGTGTAGTGTCAACCTGCTGGCTGGTAATGGGGGCCATCGAGTTAAAGAGCGACCATGAAAGGGGAAAAGAATAGTTTGATATAAAAAAAAACCCTGCCAAATCTTTATAATATATCAGAAATGAATTGTGTCATTAAGAAATATTTTCTTGGTCACCCGCGTGTCTCAGCTGGTTAAACAACAGACTTCATTTCATCTCAGGTTATGACTCACGGTTTATGAGTTCAAGCGCCACATCAGGCTCTGTGCTAGTAGCTTTGAATCCTCTCCTCCCTCCCCCCCCCAAAAATAAATAAATAAACTTAAAAAACAAAAAGAACTATTTCCTTGGAGGCTCACTGTATTGCTGGTTACTAAGTTGTTGTTTTTTTTTTTTTAATTTTTTTTTTTTAACGTTTATTTATTTTTGAGACGGAGAGAGACAGAGCATGAACAGGGGAGGGTCAGAGAGAGAGGGAGACACAGAATCCGAAGCAGGCTCCAGGCTCCGAGCTGTCAGCACAGAGCCCGACGCGGGGCTTGAACTCATGGACCGTGAGATCATGACCTGAGCCGAAGTCGGCCGCTTAACCGACTGAGCCACCCAGGCGCCCCAACTGGTTACTAAGTTTTGATGAGTCAAGGAAATAATGATAGGCTGAAATCAATCTTTCATTGATGGATTTGTTATTATGTCTTCATTTTGGGGAGATAGAGCACTTAGTCAGGATTACTATCAAATCTATGGACTCGTTTCTCAAGAAAAAGTTTATTTGCACATGAATAAATTGCCACCAAATTCAAGAGTTTCACTAATTACCAAGGTTACCTAGACCCCAGGTTATAGGTTTTGCCTTGGGAAAGCATCTTCCTACTTTTCTTACTCTTAAATTGTTAGAGGGTTTTACATCTCAAAATCAATAATTGTAAACAGAAGCAAGAAAAGGAGTTGTTGGCTGTACTTTCATATCTATACTTCCATATAGCAGCCCACTAGAGTAACTGGCTGTGGTCCTAATGCTTTCCTGAGCCATTAGATGCCTGCCACGTTTTCCGTGATAGAAAGTGATCTCCATGTGACTAAGAAAAAATAAATCTCAGTATAAGCTCTTGCTTCAATGCAGCTTACTATGTCCTATATTAATCTTTGAATTTTTTAAATTCTTGTGAATTGCTCTCTCTGACGCCGTGACGCTTTTACGGCTTTATTCATCAAAGTCTAAAGGTGTTTATTCTGAAAATTCTTAACCCACGCCCATCTGTTTTATGTGAAACACAGACTATTGCTGCTAGTAAAGGAGTGTGGTAAACCCATGTTTTCAGTCCAAATCCAATCACAACTGGAAATTTTAATTTTATTTAACAGTAAAATAATATCAGCTTATGTCACATATCACAAAATAAAAATCATATGTGCAAACATTATTTTCCATCTAAGGAAAATATTTAATATTTATCCTGCTGTATATTATTTCAAACATATATATGTGTTGGTGTGTGTCTTTATACTATCACACTGGGTATGATGTTTCAGCCTGCTTTTTAATGTGATTTGTAATATACTTCCTTTGTAATATACTTCCTTCCATGTGAATGAATGTATATGTAATCATTTTTAATGGCTGCATAGTGTTTCATTGGATGACTAAATCGAGATTCTTTTTCAAAACAGTCTCCTATTTTGGACATCAAGTTGGAAGTTATTGATGATTTTCTTTTCTTGCCATATCTTTGTCCAGTTTTGATATCAGGGTAATGCTGGCCACATAAAATGAGTTTAAAA